CACACACACACACACACACACACACACACACACACACTTTTTTTTTTTTTAATCATAGATTTTGCTGTATTTTTAGTTTTGGAGTGATGACTTTTTTTTTCCCTTCAAAAACTCTACACAACACTAAATCTCCAAGAGATCCACAGTGGTCCCCGTAAGTGTTGGTATGCGCTGTTGTTGTACATGTTGTGTGTGTGATTTATTGAAATTATGTTTTACTAAGATCAAAAAAATGGCAGAGGACTAAATTGCATATTCACTCACACTCATAAATTGTGGATACCACCATATTTAACCCTTTCAGGGACAGCGGTCACTACAGTGGACAGCTTATCATGTTACAGGTCATAGGTCATCATTATTGGTGCATGAAAGGGTTAAAGTGACCTCTCATTCCCCATCATGATTAATGGAAGGAACGGTTCACATTTGCTCTTAATCGTCTCTCTCACTTCTGCCCTCATTGGAAGAGTGCAGAGGGAATGCCGCCCCGACGTTTGAAGCCGACTCGCTCCTTCGCAGTTTTAAGTGAGCATTCTAAATGTACGGCGAAAAAACATCCGCTGCCGTATCTTCTCCGGCAACTAAATACAGTATCCAGTTTCTTTGTGATATTTGCAGTATATGCTCCCAAATCTGGCTGGTTAAAAATGCATTTCTTTGGACCTTTTGATGAACACTGAAAAATCTCCCCCCACACACACACACACACACACACACACACACACACACGCACACAACTCAAAACTCGCACACACTAAAGGGATATTGTAGTTAGTGTTAACAACATCGGGATTCTCATAAAAGATTCACATTAATGAGGAGTTTCACTCTGGGCAATTTTTTTTTTTCTGTTGTCGTAATTGGACGAGGGAACCAGTGCTTGAATCTGTGTTCTTTAAATTGGACTGTTCTTGTGTCGATGTCTGCATGAACAAAGTATTGGCTCGGAAATGCTTTTTCCATTTTTCATTTTGCCAAGCTCTTGAAGTTGAAGGGATTCTCATAACATGGTCTAGTTTATTTATAAATGAAGAGCCAAAGCCCTAGATCGTGACGGTGGTGCTGTAGAATCAGTACGATGCCAGCGTACAATTTTAAAAGCTATAGTATCCTATGTATGTTTTCCCCTCAGGCTCATGGAATGGAGATGAATATGAACAGCACACATATAATGCACATGATGCTCTCATGACACTACTGCTGTTTGGAGCTGACATTCATCATTTCCATGCAGTGCTGGGCAAGCTACTTTCAAACGTAAAACATCACTTCTGTAGTTATATTACAGCGCTAACATTTCAGAATTACCGTATTTTCCACACTATAAGGCGCACCTACAAGCATTCAATTTTCTCAAAAGCCGACAGCGCGCCTTATAATCCGATGTGTCTAATATAAAGAGAGTGTAACTCTCTTTATATTCCCCATTGAATTATTTCCCTGTTACCGTTCCTATGCCATCCAGTGGCGATTATTAGCAGGAACCAATTGGAACCTAAAAGGGTTCTGCCCAACACTAATTGACATGTGCATTCGCCAACACACACTCAAACAAACAGAAATTACTTTGTGAGCTCTGAATATCAAAAGCATATTTAACTACTGACTAAACGAAGGAAGAAGTAGACAAGCAAGACTTATAGGGCTGTTTGTGGATGTGAGCCCATGAGGTTTGTGTGCCATTTTGTTTTATCAATTGTCTACTTTTGTCTTTCATTTATTGTTTTGTAATGCCATTTGTATTCGGATGTTTCATGACCGTCTTTGTTACCAGTTCTCATTGTTACAGCTGAAGCGGTTGTGAAGGCTCTGTCTAAATAAAGCTGTATTGTATTGTATTCCCTTTAGCGTAGCACCATGTAGTGGATGCATGGCGGAACTGCAGCCACGATTGTAGTTTCTATTTTATGCGCCTTATAATGCTGTGCGCCCTATAGATGAAAACAGTTTTAACCCTGGAGAACCCAAGAACCTCTTCTTTGGGAAATGATTAATGTTCCATTAAATGACTGATATATGTTCACTGAACACCAAAATATACGTTTTTTTCAAATATTCAATGCTTTAACCCTAATTTAAGATTAGGGCCAAATTTGACCCTTTGGGATTTAAGGGTAGCATTTGAGTAGCAGAATTTATGGGGGCCAAATCTGACCCCATGGGTTCTCAAGGGTTAAAATAGACCATTCATTGAAGGTGCACATTATAATCCGAAGCACCTGATAGTGCAGAAAATACGTTTTTCTCTGTTGCTCTTTTGTTACCTGTACTTTTCTTATCACAGCCGAGTGACGGGCAGCCACCAGCCGATGGCATGACACATGGAGACAAACCGCTACATTCATACATAGGGGACGTGTCGAATGATAATAAACCTCACGTACATGTTTTGGGAATGTGGGAGGATGTCGAAAAATGAAGGAAAAAAAAACACCTTACTGAGTTCTGTCATTGTGTTACTCCAAAACTTCTCTTAACCTTGTGCACTGTAAAACCCAAATTGTGTTTTGTCTCCATTTTTCTGTCCAGGTGTGGTGTACGGTTACAAAGGCTTACTGCTGCTACTCGGCATCTTCCTGGCTTACGAAACCAAGTCTATCTCCACGGAGAAAATCAACGACCACCGAGCTGTGGGCATGGCCATTTATAATGTTGCCGTGAGTGCCACAAACAGAGTACATCATATGAAACCAATCATATTGATTGTACACAGTTGTACTGTCATCCTCATAAAAAATTGTTGTTAGGTGTCATCTTGGGCTCACAATGTCAAAATGTGGACAGCATAATGAAGACAACTGATGAAATTTGATTTCTAATTGAGGCAGGATTGGATGCTATGATGTTATGATTTTAACCCTCTCAGGGACAGCGGTTACGACACCTTATGGTGTTATCGGGTTACAGGGTGCATGGAAGGGTTTTGCCGTTAAGCATCTTGTTTGAGAACAGAAGGTTCCGCCAAATATGAGATATTAAAGGGTTCATCATGCTTTTCAACACTTTGACAAGGTTAAATTAAGCTCACCAGTAAAGCTAGAAAGACGTAACTCTTCATGAGTCGTGTACGTGTGCATCTACGGCTAGTGGCAGTCAGCTAAATGTGTTTCAGTCGCTTGTCAGATCTGCCTAAGTCTGAAGACTTGGTCTCACACCTCCAATCCTCCGTCAAGTTAACCAAGTGACTATGTTCCTTCCTTGATTATGTCCGTGTCATCTGGAATCTGGATTTTTTTTTTAAATGACTATAGATGGCCCCTTTAACAAAGTTTCTTGAATTCACAACAGATAAAATCACAGTAACCCAAATTGGGTGACATGGCGAACCCAACGCTGGGTCCAAAAGAGACAGATTCAGTGCTGTGTTATTTAAAATCAGGTCGCTTGAGCCCCTCCTTCGATATCACTCTTAAATCTCTTATCCATTGGAAGAGTAGGTCCATACCATTTCTGCCTATT